TGAGGAGGGAGAGTGTTCCAGGCCCAAGGGACAGCCTGAGAAAATGCCCAGAGCCAAGAGACGGAGTGTGGCGTTCATGGACTAGCCTGGAGGCTGGTGTCACCAATGGAAGAACATGGTGGGATGACCGGACTGGAAAGGCAGGAAGGGGCCGGCTTGTGAAGGGCTTCAAATGGTGAACAGAGGATTCAATATTTGAGCCTGGGGGTGATAGGGAGCACTGAGTCTAACGAGTAGGGGTGTGTGTGTGTGTGTGTGTGTGTGTGTGTGCGTCTGTGTGTGTGTGACAAGGTTTGACATTTGCTTTAGATTTAGTTTAAGAGACCAAACGAAGGATGGTCTGGAGAGAGTCGAGGCAGGCAGAGCTCCCAGCAGCTGTGGCTTTAGTCTGGGTGTGACATGTTGAGGGTCTGCACTGGGGGGCGGGGACGGTGTCGGAGGAAAGAAGGGAAGGAGGGATGAGGCAAAGGTGAACTCAACACGTCTTGGCAACAGATTGAATATGGGAAGTGAGGGAGAGAGAGAGACAGAGACAGAGACAGAGACAGACAGAGACAGAGACAGACAGAGAGAGACAGAGAGATAGAAAGAGGAATTGTGAATGGCACCAAGATTGGGTGACCAGAAGCATGGTGGTCCCTTGACAGTAACTGGGATGTTAGGAAGGGGGGGAGGGTTTGGGGGGAGAGATAACGAATTCTTTTTGGGGATGTGTTGAACTTAAGACATGTGTCTATGAGAGATCCAGTTCAATATATCTGACAGGAAGCTGAGATGTGATACTGGAGGTCAGCAGAGAGGTTAAGACGGTGATAACTGAACGCATGGGAGGTGATGAGAGCACCCAGTGAAATAATACAGGAGGAGATGAGAAGAGGGAGGGGCCTGCGGGACAGCCATGGTTAGTGGGTGTCACCTGAATGAAGACCTAGCAGGACACTGAGGAGGAGCGGTCAGAGAGGTAGGAGGAGAACCAGCAGAGAAGGCGGGCGTCCCCAACACCTAGAGAGAGGTGAGGGCGATGGCCGGTGTCCAAGGCCGCAGAGGGGTCAACAAGGATGAGGATGGAGGAAAGTCATCGCAGCTGACGATTTAGGAAGAGACAGAAGAGAGGAGCTGAAGGCACCAGCTGCCGATGGCCCCTCTCAGGGAGTCTAGACACAAAAGGGAGGGGAGAAGGGACAGCAAGTGGGAGATGGCCAGATCTCGCGAGGGTTGTTTGAGGATGGGGAAGATGTGGACGTGCTCCAGGCAGGAGGGGAGCAGCCAGGAGGCAGGGCGAGATTAGAGAGGAACAAGAGCCCGGCAACAGAGGAGCAATCTGCCGGGGAAGGTGGCATGGACTGGGATCCCTTATACACGTGGAGGGCTTAGCCCTGGCGAGGAGGAGGGCCACCTCTTCCTGGGAGACGGGAGTGACAGGAGCATCTGTGAGTAGGAGGTGAGGAAGTAAGGAGAAGAGGAAGCTCCTGGTGTGCGGCTTCAGTTTTATAGGGACCATAAATGTGAGGCCAGGTTCTCCAGTAACCTAACTCTGGCACTCGATGTCCTTCCTAAAGGGCAGTTGTGTGGAAAGCCCTTGGCAGCCGCTGGACATGGCAGCACTGGGGACCATGGCCTTCAGGAGGCCTGGCAGTTCTGAGCTGAGCCGCCCTGGTACCCTCCCCTTCCTGGGCCAGCCCCCAGGAATGCCCCACCTTCTGGGCCTTTGCCCGTTCCCAGGCCCTAGTCAACAGTGGGTTTATTCATTGTGAGAGAAAAGGGGGAGGGAGAGTAAGAGGCAGAGGTAACTTGACCAGAAACAGGATCTTTCTGAAAAGGCAACCCTCCCCCACCTTAGGGGGCCAGAGGGACCCAGGAGAGGCTTCCATCCAGCAACTCCCTCTGCCTCCCACCTCCCCACAGACTTCTGAGGGAGCCCAGAAATCCCTGAGGCACTCCTTCCTCCACTCAAGACCATTTTACAGAGAAGGAAACTGAGGCCCAGACAGAGGAGGCTCTAGCCCAAAGTCTCAAAGGGAAGCGAAGGCAGGGCTGGGAATGGCCCCTGTCTTGGCCTGCCAGGCCACTCTCCTGGCTGTCCCATCTCAAGGTCAAGGCCCTGCCAGCAGAGGCTCTGAGGGCAAGAGAGGATGGGGGAAAGGAGGCTCCCTAAGGTCCCACTTACCAGTCCCTCCATTCTCATCCTCAGCATAGGCAACTTGCAGGAGCGCCTGGCCCGCGTGGGTGCTGCCGGTGTTCGCTTCATCATAGTCAATGAGAAGTCGCCTCTGTCCCAGGCCCTGCATGGAGAGCTGGAACTCCACGCACCCCCGGGCATACCCGTCTACCGCCAGCAAGGGCCTGGCCCTGACATCTGGAGCATCCTTGGGGGCACCAAGGATGACTTCCTTGTCTATGACAGGTAGGACTGCCCCGGCTGGGAATGGGGCTGGGGTCACAGGTTACGCCAGACAGTTGAGGAGGGTGGCCAGAGATGCTGATCGGTCAGGGGGAAACTGCTGCAACCTGGCCCTCTCAGCCCGTGCCCGTCATGTGCCTCCTAAGCCCATGCTAGGAACTTGGTTCCTGATGACTGCCAGTGGGCTGCCAGGCTGCCCCTCCTCTCCTTGCCATCACTTGGCAGAGCCACCCCAGGCCCCAGAGACAGTGTGAGTGTGTGTGTGTGTGTGTATGTATGTGAGACGGGCAGTCTTCTGATCTGATGTGGGGCAACCTGGCACCCCCTGCCCCACCGGAGGGCCGGTATCAGCAGCTGAGCCTCACACACCCTACCTCCGGTCGCCTGAGGAGGCCTGAATTTCCCAGACTCAGTGGGGCAACAGAGCCCTAGGGAGAGAACAGCTTTCCAAAGAGGCAGGCTCAGGCCGAGGGCCGCGGCAGCTGCCTGAGAGCCCCGTCAAGCCAATGCCTCATTTTGTGGATGGGGAAACCGAGGCCCAGAGAAGGCCAGGGTCAGGGACTTGTTCAGGCAGCAGGGCCAGGGACCCATCGGAGGTCAGGTGGCAGGTCCAGGGGCAGGATTCACACTCAGGCCCTGTGACTCCCAGCCCAGCCCTCTCCCCACAGCGGTCTGGCTCTGTCTGCCCTCACAGGTGTGGCCGCCTGACATTCCACGTCCAGCTGCCCTTTAGTTTCCTGCACTTCCCCTACGTGGAATCGGCCATTCGATTCACCCACTGGCAAGATCACTGTGGGAACTGTTCTTTCTACTCCACCCAGGTGAGGCCCAGAGAGGGCGAGGGCATGACTGGGGGCAGCCACGGGAGGCCAGGCCTCAAGGTGGGCCTGGGGGCCTTAGAACTGCCTCACTTCATAAATGGGCAAAGACAGAGACTTGCCCAGGATCATGCAGGAAGAGGGGGACCTTGAACCCTTATCTATGCTCTCTCTGCCTTCCTGGGCTGGCTAGGGGTCGAAGGTGGAGTTATTGGGTCTCACAGGATTTGACAGTCAAGGAGAAACCAGAAGTCAGAGCCTTATCCTCCCCACCCCCCTACCACCAGGGGCCTAGCCAGGACTTGAGGAGGCCTGTGGGTAATGCCCCCATAGGAGGGCCTGTGAATGTCTCTTTCGCAGCACACAGCATGGAACTCCCCCCTCCAAGTCTGTGCTGTGTGGACTGTGCCCTGGGTTTCTGAGGTGCAGGCGGAGAGACTTCAAACCTTCCAGGAGCTGTGGGGGGCCTCCTTCCAGCACCCCCAGCAGGTCATAGCCCATCCACACGGGCTCCCTGAAATGTCCAGGGGCCTACGCACCAGGGCTGAGTCTGCTCAGCCTCAGAACAGACGCGGGATCCACCCAGACCTCCATCCGTTCTGGGAACCTCTTCGTCTGGGTGGAACCTGTCAGAACTTGGGCTCCTCCAGCAGAACCTAGGAGAACCAAGGCCTCCAAGCAGACAGTGCAGACCTCAGAGGAGGGTGTGAATGGAGGAGACCTGTGTATACAGACCTACCTGTGTGTATGTACGTGTGTAGACGTCTGTGTCTGTGTAAGGAGAGTTCCCTGACGGGGCAGGTGAGCACATCACCAAGTGAACCCTCTGCTCAGAGCCTGGGACTGGTGGGCCTCTTCCTGGGCAAGCTGCCCACTGCCCGCTGCCAGGGGGTTAAGCCTCAGCATGTGGGGCTGCTATGAGCTGGTTCGGTCACTTTGGGCGCTTGGGATGAGCCACAGCCCAGACAATAATTCAGAATATCGGCTCAGACGTCGTTCAAAGGCCCAGCTCCCAGGGAAGTCCGCAGGGGGAGCCTGGCAGAGGGAGGGCTGGGGAGGCATCCCCCATAAGCTCCCCTCCCTCGCCCCAGTAGAGTAGCTAGGAGACCTGATGGATGAGGGCAGCTTGGTATTTTGAATCGCCCCTTGCTGAATACTGTCCTTGAAGGCTGGGCAGAGTCACGCATTTCACCAACATTAGCCTTGTAAGTGGGGATCGGGTAACTTGTCTAGGAAAATTATCTTTACACCTGGCCTTGGAGAGGAAACTGAGCCAGGGCTGGGCTGGGCTGAACTTTGGGATGGAAGCCAGCTCTAAAATGGAGCCACTCAGGCCAGAGAGGGAAGACAGGCCTCCGTCAGGCTCCCTGGTGAGCTGGCAGACCTGCTCAGCCCCAGCTTTGGGGCCTTCTTTCAGGCCCCTCAGCACAGCCCCATCAGGCTGCTTTCTATACAGAGCTGGTGAATGGGTGCGTTAGGCGGTCCGGGAAAACTGGTGGGCCATCACTGTCTTATGTCCTCTCTAGGTGAACAGCACAGACGAGGGGAAGGCTGAGTCGCCCACTCAGTCCCCTAGCCTAGAAGGAGAAGGGCAGGAGCCCCTGGCTGAGGGGCCCAGCACCCACAGGCCGACTCTGTTGTCTAGCACCCTTCACACAGCCCACGCCCATGGTCCTGTCCACAGCCACGGCAAAAGGCCATCACTTGGCCACAGTCTAGAGCAGCCCCCCAAGGAAGAGGCCACTGGATAACCCTCCCATGGCCATGGTCACGGCCAGGTCCCCACTCCACAGGCTGGCCCCAAGAGGGCCACCAACCTCACTCCCAACCTCATCCTCTGTCAATCTGGCCCATTTCAGAGAGAGGAAAAACTGAGGTGTCCCTGGGGTCAAGGTCACCGTGGAACAAACCCATCTGTCTCCATCAAGACTGCGCCCTGCTTGCCTGTGGTGTTGGCTAGCTTTGCATTTCACCCGCTGCCCTTTCCTCCCTCAATTAATGATGCCCACAGTGAAACCCGGAGATCCGGCCATGGTGGGCTGATGCCGTGTAGAGTGGGGGAATGAGGAAGAGGCTCCATTGTCCATACCCAGGCATGACTGCAAGCCAAGATGGGGGTGCTCAGAGGAGTGGAGGGCTTGGAGAAATGGTCAATAAACTTCTCTCCCCAGAGCTGCCTCACCTCTCTGTTTGAGGGCTTTGAGGGTGCCAAAAGTAACCCCACATTGCGTGTGGGGCAGGGAGACACTGGGGTGTGTGTGTGTGTGTGTGTGTGCGTGTGTGTGTGTGTGCGTGTGTGCGTGCGTGCACCAGCCTGGGCTTTGTCTAAGACTGGGTGAGGAACCTTTGGCCTTGAGGTCACATGTGGCCCTCTAGGTCCTCAAGTGCAGCCCTTGGACAGAAGTTTGGATTCAGTCAAAGGACTGAAGCACTTGAGGACCTAGAGGGCCACATGTGGCCTTGAGGCCGCAGGTTGCCCATCCCAGGTCTAAAGGAATCTGGCAAGTGTCTTCTATGTACCAGAGAATGGTGGGTCAGCCCCCGGAGATACAGAAACAAAATGACAAAGTTCCTGCCCTCTTGGAGCTTACATTCCCCTAAAGGCTACATTTAAACTGGCAAGCAAACATACAAGGTAATCAAAGGGAGGTCAACAAGAAAGACAAAGGAGCCAGACTTCCAGGAGGAGACGAGGCCTGAGCCCAAGAGGTCTGAGGGCACTCCAGGCAGGACAGGGAATGCCCAGGTCTGGGAGGAGCCTCTAGGCCAGTTGGGCAGAGGGATCCTTAAAGGTGGTCTTCAGACCCCAGGGGCTCCTGGGGCATCAAAACTATTTTCACGAAAGTATTTAGACATTTGAATTTCTAATATGGTTTAATGTTTGTAGATATAAACCATGGAAATAAAAGCTCTTTGTTGGGGGGGATCCTGAAAAAACTTTAAAGGTGTAAAGGGTCCTGAGATAAAAAAAACTTTGAGAACAGCTGATGCAGGCAGTGAAGAGTAAAAGTGTGAGTAGCTTTAAATACTCTAGGGCCAGCAGAGCCTTGGGGACCCCCACAGTCAGGGGGCTAGACAGGGAGGAGGATCCAGAAAATGAGATAGAAAAGGAACAGGCAGAGAGGTAGAAGGAGAACCGAGAGAGAGACAGACACATGAAGAGAGACAGAGAGGAGAGAGACAGAGAGAGGAGGGAAAGAGGGAGAGAAAGAAAAAGTGAGAGAGGAAGGAGGGAGAGAGAGACAGAAAGAAAAGGAAAGAGAGAGACAGAGAGAGAGAAGGGGGGAGAGGGAAGAGGGAGAGAGAGACAGAAAGAAAAGGAGAGAGAGAGAGAGAGAGAGAGAGAAGGAGGGAGAGACAGAGAAGGCGGGGGGGAGGGATGGAAAGAAACAGAGACAGAGAGAGGTGTCCTGAAAACCTGGAGAGAAGAGAGTATCACGGAGGGCCAGAGGTCAGGGAGAATGAGGATGGAGAAAAGGCCACAGGATCTGGCAGCCAGGAGGGCCTTGGTCACTTTGGAGGTGGGTTTTGGTGGAATGATGAGGTCAGAAGCCAGACTGAAGAGGGTTTAAAAGAGTGTGACAGGAGTGGAAAGGGGCAGTGTAGACAGCTTTTTCTAGGGTCTGACTAAGAAGGGGAGGAGAGATTGAGAACGATTGTTCAAATAACAAACCAAACCAGTTCTTGGTGTGTAAGCGCTCAGTAGGATGTGGCTGTAGGAGGGGGAACATCTGAGCAGGTCCCTCTTGGCCCCCTTGCCCCTCCCCTTCACCCCCAGAGCCTGGCCCTCCCTGTGGCTCCTGTCTCTCCCTCTTTGAGATGTTGGTGAAAACAAACAAAAACAAAAACCAGAGATGCTGGTGGGGAAGACCAGCCCCAGGGGGCTACCTCTCATTTTTCAGATAGGTAAACTGAGGCCCACAGAAGGGCAGGGGCTTGGCTCTGATAGTCCCCTGTGTGCCTCTTATCCACATCCTTGAAGAAACCCTCTAGGGAGGACACACCACCAACCTGGAGGCCTTCCTTCCTAGTGGCTCTGACCCTCTGTGGGCCCCCAGTCTGGTGTTATCTTTCCAGCTCTCTCCACCACACAGGGCATCTCCTCCTGCACTCAGAGCCAGCAGGAACCTGGGCTCAAACTGAGTCTGGCACTTCCTGATCAGATGACCTCTAGATAGACCACCTCACCTCAGTGAGACTGTCTTTTCTTCTGTAAAATGGGTATCATCTTACCCAAAGCACCCCCTTAGAAGTGAAGGGGTGTGTGGAAGCTCCAGTGAGGTCTGGTAGGTGAGTGCTCTGCAGTCTTGGATACCCTCAGGGATGTGCCCCTCACCTCCTGCCTGGTCACACTAAGAGGGCTGTAAGCCACGCCAGCTCGCTGCCCTCCTCCCTCAGCTCTCCACTGACTTTCATAGCTGGTCTACAGAATGCTGGTGCCCCAGAGCCCACCCGGCTGGGTTCCCAAAGACATAGGAGCCAGCTCCCACTCTGGGGGAGAAGCTGGTGAATGCTGGGAGGGGAGTATCCTGCCAACAGCCTCCGTGGGGCCCAGAAACCAGCTCTAGGCACAGGTGATCAGTGGAAGGAGCCTCTAGGGAGGGACACTCCCCCCCAACCTCCGAGGCAGCCCTCCCCCCCGGGGGCTAGCTCTCAGACTCAGGATCCTGACATCAGCTGCCTCTCCACCTCATGGGCTCACTGAGTCAGGGATAATGGAGCACAATCTCACCCCCCCTTCACAGAGAGGAGGACCAGGAAAGACAAGGCCTGTGTCCCCGGTGCCTGAGCGAGTCCATGGCAGCCTCAGCCCCTCAGGATCCCCCAGGCTGGGTGCCACCCTTGGCTTCAGAGAAGGCTAGGCCTGCCTCGCCCAGCCTAGGCCCCATACCTCCAGGACAGGGTATGGGGGCCTTTCCCACACATTCCCTGACCCCTGCTGGACACAAGACCAGGCACTGGGAGAGGCCTCAGAGACCCAACTCTTCATTCTTCCAGGTCCAGCGGGGGTGGGGCGGGGCTGGCTTGTGGGCCCCCCCTCCTGCCCATACTCCGTCTGGCCCCCAGGCAGAGGCGCTGGCTGCCCCCTCCTGTCTCTAATCTTCCTCCCGCAGGAGCCCCCAGCCCAGACTCCTGAGCCCGGCTCCGGCCTCCTTTCCCTTCCAGGCCCTACCTCTGCTCTAAGGACTGCCTGTGTCCCACGGCCAGCCTCTGACCTCTGTCCAGAGGGCCGGGCAGGCCCTCAAACAGCATCGGGCTGTGGAGCTGTGTGAGAAGGACAGTAGTGGGCCCGAGGGCCATGGCCTCAGAATGAAACAGCGCCGTGCTGGGAGCCCCCGGTGAAATCTGGCTTCTGAAGGAGGGAGGAGGAACAGGCCAGGCCACTAGAGACTCTTTATTCTGTTAAAAATGGCCTTTCTCACAGACATTCTCGTGTCGGGGGTGGGGGCACCTGAGACCAGCCCTGGGGTGGTGGGGGAGGGGGGTCACTTGTCCTGGAGTCGGCGGGAGTGCTGATGCACCGCCTCCACAAATGCTCCGACGTGAGCAGAATCCATGTCTGGGTAGATCCCGTGGCCCAGGTTGGCAATGTGCCGCTGGGGCCCAAAGGCCGCCAGCATCTGTTCCACGTACTGTCCAATCTTCTCCTGTGGAAAGGGGAGGGAAGAGCGTGGAGCCCACCGTGATCAGGTGGGCGCAGGGGCCCCAGGAGGGCTCACCGCAGTCAGACACTGAGAGGGGCACGTGTGCCCGCGGAGCCTACACAGACACCCCCCCCACTTCCCTACCTTGGAGGCGTAGAGGGCACAGGGGTCCAGATTGCCCTGGAGGGTCACCGACTTTCCCACACGTTCCCTGAAACCAGTCATTCAGTCAATAAGCATTTATCACAAGCCACAGTCACGAAGGCCTATCCCTGGGGGATCCCCCCACCCCAAAAGCCACCCGCCTGACAAATCCACCCTGTCAGGAGGCCTCCCATTCACAGATCTCACAGATCATTAGCCCTGGGAAGTCCTTGAAAGAGAACCCCCCCCATTTTACACACAGGGAAGCTGAGGTACAGGAGGGGAAATGACTTGTCGAAGGTCACACCATCAGTGCCAGGCAGAGCTGGGCCTCAAACCCAGGCCCTGGGGACTGAGGCCCCTTACTCACCGGGCCTGGGCAGGGTTCACTTTCCAGTCAATTCCAATCACTTCGTAGCCAGCCTGGGCCAGCTCTTCCAGGGCATAGTGTCCGTCCTTGGCAAAGATGATCTAGGCAGGAGGAGGGGCAGAGGTGAGTGTCCCAGGCCAGAATGGATACGTCTACCGGGGTGAGCCTGGCCCCCCTCAGCCCCACTGTAACCCCCATGGGCCGGGGTTTCCTGGAACTCCCCAAACCCTTTCTACCCTTCTCCTTCTTCCCAGAAGCTTTAAGATTAAAGATTTAAAAAAGAATTAAAGATTAAAAAAAAAATTTCCCCACAACAGCTGTGGGGGGTCAGAGCTAAAAGGATTCATGTCCCTATTTTATAGAAGGGGAAACCGAGGCCTAGAAGCCTTGAACTGACCCCTGCCATGCGCCCCCTTCCCCCACCTGCCTCCTTTCAGACCCTTGTCCACACTGGGGCCTCACCAAGGGCACTGGTGCCAGCCCTGCCTCCTGCAGCCTGGCCTTGACCCTCTGGGCCACTTCACGGATGTAGGGCAGCGCAAACTCTGAGAAGAGCTCAGGGCCCAGGTGCCCGGCATGAGACTCAAACACCTGCAGGGCCTGGGGGGAAGGGTCGAAGGTTAGAGGTCAGAGGCTAAGAGAGGGCAGCCCAGAGCTATCTCACCAGACAGGCCTCGGAGAGACCACGCCCTGGGCCTTCCCCTCCCTCTTGGCCCCCCCGGGGGTCCCCTGACCTCCCTTCCCTCCCCTCCCTCCTGGCCCCTCACCTGTGCCCCTGCAGCCACCTGGCCCACGAGGTAGGGAACGAGGACATCGGTCAGGAGGCCCAGCAGGCGATGACTGGCCTTGGGCCACTGGTACAGCCATCGCTTGGCCTGGGCCATGGTGTTTGAGCCTCCCCCCTCTACCATGTAGGACATCAGTGTCCATGGGGCCCCTGAGAAGCCGATGAGGGGCACACGCCCCGCCAGCTGGTGGCGGGTCAGCGTGATGGCCTGGAACACATAGCCCAGCTCTTTGTCCACGTCCACAGGGGCCTGAAGGCGGTCCAGGTCCTGCTCGTCCCTTAGGGGCGATGAGAAGGTCGGCCCTTTGCCGGGCACCATGGTCACCTGCATGCCCAGCGCCTGGGGGGAGAGGGTAACTGGAGCCTGAAGGCCCCCTCCCTCCCTCCCTCACTTCTCCCTCGCCAAGTTCCCCATCATACCTGGGGCACCACCAGGATGTCAGAGAAGATGATGGCAGCATCTAAGGGGAAGCGTCGGAGCGGCTGCGGGAAAACACGGGGGCATGAGTGTCTCTGAGCCTGCGCCAGGGGCACGGCTGCCCCAGCACAGGGCACAGAGATGGTCCCATCAGGCTCTGAGCCCAAGGCCAGGGTCTCGCACAGAGCACAAAGCCCCGGACCCAGAGTCAAGAGGCTGACCCTCACACTGGGAGCGGAGGGACCCTAGGCTCAATTTTCTCATCTATAAAATGAGTACAATACTACTGGTGCTCCCTGCCTCTGTGGCCTCCTTTAGGCGGCCTTCCCCTGGGTGTTCCTGGCTCCCAGAGGCCTCGCTGGCCTCAGATCCTTTGTATGACTTGGCTGGGCAGGCCTCTTTTTTTTGGAACAAGGTGGCAGCTGCCTGGGGGTAAAGGCTGGGCTCTTGGAGGACTGAATGTCGGTCATCACCTCCTGGGCATTTGCCTGCCCCCCTCTTCTCCTCCTCCCTGAATCCTCCCCAGATTCCTCCCAGGGAACAGGGCCTGGGTTTTCCCTGAGCTCTGCACCCCAGGCCCTCCTCATACTCAGCAGCTGCTTCATCAAGTTCTGCAGTGACTCTTCCTCCCATTTTAAAGAGACTGAAACTGAGGCTCAAGGAGAAAGAGGAGGCTCTTCGTCAGCTCTGGAGTCCTGGCAGGGGATCTGAGTCCCAGTCACACTCTGGATCAGACAATGTGGAGCCCACCCGGCCCAGAAATCCACAAGCTGGGGGCCTCCAGAGGCCTTGCTCCCCTGGAGCCGCAGGATGGAAAGCCAGGTCTCCTGCCTGGAGTAAGGCGGGGCTCAGACCCCCCAGGAAGGGGGAGGAGTTGGGGCCACCCACAGAGCCAGGGGGGCACCTGCAGGCTCCCGGAGGCCTCACCTGCAGGGTCAGCTCACAGCAGGTCTCAGGGGAGCGGCAGGTGTCAAAGAAGTCCTGGCCAGCCCGGGTCGCCAAGAACTCTGGGGGGAGCAGAAAGTTAAGGGGGGTCCTGCCCCTGCCCTCCCTCTGCTCCCCCTGGCCCAGGCCTCTTACCTTTCAGGTAGCGGCCTGCCTGGCGCATGCACCACACTGGTGTGTAGTCTGTGGTCTGCCCCCAGGCTGCCCGCAGGAAGGTGTCATTCTGCAGCTTGGGGAAGGCCTGGCGGCAGTCCCCTCCTGGGCTAGGATCCGGGCTCTGGCTAATGCTGCTGGGGCTGCTGCTGTTGCTGGGTAGCCCGAGGGGGCGGGAGGGACCTCAGGCTAGGGCACCCCACCCCCCTTATCAGCCCTGGCCAGGCCTGGCTTGAGCCTCCCCCCTCCCCAACCTAGAGGCCCAGCCCTGACCCCCATCCCCCACCCTGCCCTTGCCCAGCCGGGGCCTCCCCAGCACAGACCCCAGAGCCTCTGAGCAGCCAGCATGGAAGAGCAGAGAGGGCTCCGGGGCTGGGAGGGGGTCCTGGGGAAGGACGATGTGGGGGTCTCTGAGTGCTGAGGCCAGGACATGGGGGGGTGTGTGTGTGTGTGTGTGTGTGTGTGTGTGTGTGTGGAGGTCCTGGGAGGTAGCAGGATGGGGGCTTTGAGTGCCGAGGCCAGGGACAAGGTTGGGGGGTTCCTGGGGGGTAGAAGGACAGTGAGCCCTGAGTGCCGAGGCCAGGGACAAGGTTGGGGGGTTCCTGGGGGGTAGGAGGACAGGGAGCCCTGAGTGCCGAGGCCAGGGCCTGAGGGCTGGGAGCATGGACGCGGGGAGAACGGCCGGACTCACCTTACCCCGGTCTCCTCCATCGCGCGGACCCCACTTTACCCTGCGGGGTCCCAGAGCAGCCCCAGACTCTTCTGGAAGCTCCGCCCCCAGCCCTGTTCCCGCCCCGAGGTCCGCCCCCACGCCAGCCAGGTCCCGCCCCACGCCGTTCTTGGGCGCCGCCATGTTGGTGGTCACATGACACGCCAAGCTTGGGCCCTGAGGAGCTGAGGCTGCCCTAGTCGATGCCTGCAGGACCCCTTTACTACCGTAAAGTCCAGAGCAGAGGCGCAGCAGAAGGTTGTGGGGGGGGTGGGGCGGGACGGATGGACGGGCGAGGCCTCACCGGCCGCCCAGTGATGGAGGTGTTCGTGGGGAAACTGAGGCCCAGAGCGGGGAGACGAGCTGCTTAGGCCCTAAGCCTTAGGGTCTCTCAGTAAGGAAGCCTCAGAGCTCCACTGTTACCTACCCTTGAGACCTCAGTTTCCTTATCTGTAATATAGGAATAATCATAGCATCTCCCTCACATGCTTTTTTGTTGGAAACCTTGAACGGGTTCATGTCTGGACAGACATTTCAAACCTAACTTTGTTGTTGAGGCATGTTTGAGTCTGCGGGAGCCCATTTGGGGTTTTCTTGGCAAAGATACTAGTCTGGTTTGCCATTTCCTTCTCCAGTTCATTTTACAGATGAGGAAATTGAGGCAAACAGGGTTAAGTGACTTGCCCAGGGTCACACAGCTAGGAAGTGTCTGAGGCCAAATTTGAACTCAGGTCCTCCTGACTTCAGGGCCTGTGCTCTATCCACTGCACCACCTAACTGCCCCTATATTAGTCATGTTGTGAAAGAAGAATCAGAACAAAAGGGAAAAACTACAAGAAAAAAAGAAAAAAGGAGAAAACAGTGTGCTTTGATCTGCATTCAAATTCTACAGTTTTCTCTGGATGTAGATAGCATTTTCCATCGTGAGACTTTTGGAGATGTCTTAGATCCTTGCATTGCTGAGAAGAGCTAAGTCTATCAAAGTCAGTCATTGCACAATGTCGCTGTTACAGCAGTAACA